TCAGGTCCTCTAAAACCTCCAACAACTGGTCTCATCAGGTCCACTAAACCCTCCAACAACTGGTCTCCTCAGGTCCACTAAAACCTCCAACAACTGGTCTCATCAGGTCCACTACAACCTCCAACAACTGGTCTCAGGTCCTGGACCTTTACAGGATGTCAGAAGAAGAGGGCTTGTTTTCCAGGTGAAACGTGGACCTGATCCTGACCATTGTACAACTTCTTAGTTTAAGCATTTGTATGTTTGCTACGCTCTCCTGTGAATAAAATATGGGTTCAAGATTTTCAAATCGTCTCATTCAGTTTTTACATTTTACACAACGACCCAACTTCTTTTTATAAGTGTGTTCATCTCAGTTAGAAAACTTTTACAGATAAATGTTTAAAGATGAATATTTCCATCAGATAGGAATACGGCTCTTACGAAGTTAAAGCAGCAGTCCGGTGTTTTATCCCGACTCCTGACTCGTGCATTATTCAGTACGACACGACACCGAGCTCGACTGCGTGGATCCCTGCGGTACGAGCGTTCTTCATGCTGCGCCGAGCAGCTCCCCATCATCCGGTGAAGAAGGAACAGGAGTTACACAACAAACAATCTCCAAACAAACTTGCTGCCCCTGACAGGAGACGCTGTGTCTTCGTGGTTATATATAGTTTCTCCTGCGAGGCTGTCAGGTTGCATTTGTCGGCGCCGTGCTCTCCTTGTTCGCACTTCACACCCTCTAGACTCTCCAAACACTCAGGCCAATGTGAGATGCTCGTCCTGCTGAGGTCAGCTGCTCTTTGAATCTGCGTGGACCGTGCGGGGGGAGGGCGTCTTCAACCTTTGTGAGCACACTTTGATTGCTTGAACAGGTCCTACAAATCGCTGCCCGGACTAGTTTCCTCTGTTTCCACGGCCCTCCTGAGCTCAGTGAGATGTTGGCAGCTCTTCTCCCAGCAGAGCGGTGTGGCAACAGGCCACCAATTTGTAGAAAAGATTCTAATTTCTCAAAAGCTGGATCAATAGGCCGTGCCTGAAAGCACTTAGCAGTGATTAATGGTTGAGGCTATTAGCTGGTCTGCACCATTACCTGCTGGGAGAATGTACACAATAATCTACATTCTGATGATTTTTAATAAGAAAAAAACATTGTGTGTCTGTTTAATAGTTTAAATTGGTTAGATGGTGTATTTACTTTCTTGTACTCGGTTGTACAATAGATTACAGAATACAAGACCATAAAAAACTGTTAAAACACAAGAAAAAAACCAAACCATTAAAACAATACAAAAAAGTGTAAACTTTCATGCTGTATTAAAAGCCAGTGAGTACAAAATGGTACATGAAATAACTTCATTTTTGCTAGTTAAACTTGAGAAATGGAGCCTAAGGGGAGCATATAAACAATAAACAAGGACCAAGAATGCATCCTTGGGGAACTCCACAATAGATAGAACACAAATTACGAGTTGTGGATGATGCTCGGCTATACCCACGCCAAATTTCAGCTTAATATCTATACAATTAAAATCAAAACAAATTAAATTTATTTTGTATAGCATATTTAAAAACAACTGTTGTACTGCACACAAACAACAAAAAGACGGTGCCGAATATGAGACCATAAAAAACAAGTTAAAAATATATTAAGACATAAAACCATGAAGATAATGCAATACAAAAAAAGCACACATTCGTGGTATAATGAAAACCAGCCAAATGTTTTTCAAGAAGAGACAGAAATATCAAGAGTTGAAGCCCGACCGATATGACGTGGCAGCTAGTTCCACCGTTTAGGAGCTACATTTGAAAAGGCCCCATCACCTCTGTGGACCAGCCTGGATCACGGGACAACTAAAACTAGATCTAGATCTGAGTGTGGTCTGCGTAAAAATGGAAAGAGATGTTAAATTTTCTTAAAATGGCAACTGAAGGGGAATGTAGATGGGAAAATAAACAGGACTAAGAATACATCCTTGGGGAACTCCACATGTGAAAGGAGGAAACCAATTATCTGAAGCCTACAGAGAAACTCCTGTCAGATGGATAAAACCTGAACATTAATCATATTATAGCCATTCTGGCGCTTTTTCTTGTCATTTGGTTGTGGCAGCCATCTTGAATAGGATTGGCTCCAAAAATGTTGGTCAGATCCTCAAAATAACAATCTGCAACGTCCCATCATGCACTGAAGCTGCAAAGACTTGAGAAGTTCCCCCATCCATTCCCTCTTTAACCATCAATCCAGAGGAACCGGGCAGGATCCAGTAATGGAGAACTTATTGAATAATTGAATGAAGCTAATGTGCTGCTTTCACGTGTGGTGACAAGAACACTGATCCTTCAACAAACCATTTTCCACTTTAGAAGTATATAAAGTACATTAACAGAACCTTTCAAAACTACTGAGTATGTTTCTGAAATTTAATAAATATATACTCCAAAAAAACCATTATAATATAACACGCATTTTGCATGTTGATCCTATTCAGTAATACAAATTTGTCAAAATCTAACCAACATAAGAAGATCTTAGTCTGAATTTTGCAAGCAATATGTATGCAATGACTTTTCATTGTCTTAATGTAGGCTAAAAAACTCCACATGAGTATGTCTTTTTTCTGCATTTTCTCTCTTTTTTTTACATTTCAAAGTATCCAGAACGTAACAATGTTTGGGTTTGACTCTACTCTCTGTCTTCAGGTACCAGCAGGTGCCGGTGGTGCTGGTGGGCAACAAGGTGGACCTAGAGGACGAGCGGGAAGTGTCCCCCAGCGAGGGCCAGGCGCTGGCCGAGGACTGGGGCTGCCCCTTCATGGAGACGTCGGCCAAGAGCAAGACGATGGTGGACGAGCTTTTCGCCGAGATCGTCAGACAGATGGACTTCTGCCCTCTGCCCGACCGAAGAGAGACATGCTGCCCCCCCTGCAGCGTACAGTAGCAGCCCCGACAGAAATCAGGGCGCAAATGTATTCACGCTAAAGAGTTAGAGGAAAAAGAAAATTCACTTTTGCTGTTTCTACCGGCTTTCTGTATACAAATAAAGCCCGCTGTCTTGGGAAACGTAGGATAGATTGAATTTGTACTTGAAAGCTTCAGCAACACTCGACCTCCAGCACCTGAAACGTTAAGGAGTTTCCAGAGCTTCCCTAAAAGCACCGTGGTGCCAAAGCCATCAACCAACAGGATAGTGGTGCTAAATGCTTTTGGGAAAGCAGCCATAAGACCCAAACCGGTCTTTCGTAGCCCTCTTTTCTTCCGCTTGTCGTTTTTCTCTTCGCACCTTTTGGACGTGTTTGATGGCGTGAGACCAGCCAATCAGGTTTCTGAACGGATCAAAGTGGGTGTAAGGAAATCTCACAGCAGGTTCGCCCAACTACGAATGAATGAAAAGATGAACGAATGTCTCAATACGTTTAAAAAAAAAATAAAGGCACCTTTTGTGGGAAATTCGCGCCGGAGATCCCCAAATGTTGACAATGTGTGCATGTGGCCGTACTGTCACGCTGACATTGAGTTCAATCTCACCCAAAGAGACCGGTTCAGTCGGTGGTTGAAATGTTCCGGAAACACGTTGTCTTTTCACGCTGCAGACGATACGAATGCCTTGTTACACGTAGGAGATGAACAGCGTCGGTGTGTAGCTCGTCTAAGTCACAGCAGATGTGTTCGTAGTTTGATGTCAGAAACACGTATTTTCAACAAAAAATAAAACCTTATGCACAAGAGTGTCGTGTGTTGATTGCCGGGAACTCCCATTTCGTATATATAATGAAAAAAGAGATTGATGATTAGCCTTTTAGCTTTGACGCTTAGCACATCAGAATCTGGGTCTTGATATATTTATTAAATTCAGTTAGTCGAGTCAACTTTATTTATAAAGCACATTTATTACCGCAGCTGTTACCAAACTTAAAGTCAGAGTCTAAAACCATCCCGAGATTTGTAACGGACTGCTTAGAGCTAGGGCTAAACACAATGACTTTGGATTTTAAACATTTTAAAGGCATCCATGTCGATGTCATCACGGCATTTTAACAGAGGGTGAATGGAGCAAGAACTATTGGGTTTTAAGGGCAGATAAATCTGACAGTCATCAGCATAACAATGAAATGAAAGACCATGTTTCCTCAGGATAGACCCAAGGGGAGCAGAAAGAGTGAAAACTGAAGGTGTCCAAGAATCGAGCCTTGCGGGACCCCGCAGAAAAGAGGCACTGAAGCAGATACACCATTTCCAACCTTTACACAGAAACACAGAGGGTTTGGATTGATGGCGGCCGCGTTCCAGAGTCCGGGTGTCCTTGACAAAACAACAGAGTAACTTTATAAAATGTATTAAACCTATAAAACCTATGATTAGTTTTTTTGCCAAAGTTTTAGACAAGATCTGTTAGCCCTTGAATTTACATGTTGAGCATTACTCGGCTACAACCATGCCAAATTTGAGCACAATATCTAAAAATTATATAATGCCATTTAAGTTTGATTGATTGTGACAGATTTACATTACGTAAAAAAAAAGGAATAATGATGGATGTATAAATAATAACCACAGACATTGGCAATATTCGTGTAAAGGTCTTGCAATCTACAAAATAAACTAAACAAGGTAAAGAGTTAAAAAATGTATACGTGAGTAAAATAAAATAATGTGTGCCTTTTAATCGATACAAACCACTATTTTCTTAAGAAATGTGCATAAATACATTCAAATTCGTATAATGAAGGGTCTGTTACAAGAAAAAGACAACAAAGCTGTTTATGAAATAAAAGTTCAATTTCTCAAGAGTTATTGTTTTTACAAGTTTCTGATGATTTAAATTAAGTTTTTCCACAGAGGTAATATATGTTTTTAAGTCCGTTTCTTTTAAAATTATTAAATGAGGGTCTTTTTTTCACTCCATTTCATCTTGTGGACATAATATTTTGCCAGTATTATAATTAGATTTACTTTATATACTCACGTTCACACTGACAAAAAGAGCATTCGTTGCTGACATTTGGAAAGAAACGACAAATATCTTTAACTGGATTATATCTATGTAAAATCTTAAATAAAAATAATTTGATCCTATATACTTATGAGGCAGTAAAAAGACTGCATGAATAAACCCATCTGTGTTTATTTTATTTTATTTTGCAGAGGGTTGACCACCCAGTGATTATTTCCTGAAGGTTTCAAGACTGTCCAGTTGTTCAGCAGATGTTTTGCTAACAGGCAAAGAGGTATAGCAGTGTATAAACATATAAACATAACTTTTGCTCCTACAGATAATCAGTTAGCTGGAGTAAAATTTATATTAAATTAATAATAATGATGATGCTGTCAACAGCGACACCTGCTGTTACAAACTAGAACGACTCCTCTCAGATGCGGAACGTTTCTTCCTGTCCTAATGTCCTCCGCCGGACCTTAATCGACGTCGCACAAGTCGCGAATGGCGTCCTTCACTTTGCGGCTTTTGTAGCCTGACTTTTGTGTGTCTATTGCTCTTATATATGTTTTAATTTGTATTATTTTTGTAAAACATAATGGCAACACAGACGGCGTGTCGAGTTTTCCAGCGACGTAAGTACCGGCTAGCTAACGTTCAGCGTGAGCGCGTGCGTGGAGTTAGCTCCGAAGGTTAAATATTTAGCCAAGAACCGCTTTTTTATCATATTTAACAGAAAAATAGCATTATTATTATGACTTTAGTTTGTTTTGTTGTCATTGTTTATTTAAAAAATGATAAAAGAATATGTCTCTGTGAGTTTTTAAGGAGAAAAAGGATTAGAGCCCAGTTTTTCCTGTAAATTAAATTTAACCTAAATTAACATCGTGTTTAAATTTTTCTTATTTGGTATTAAAATAATAATAATAAAAAAAAACATAAGCAGGGATAGATCTACTTAAGTTGTAATGTTCAAGAGCTTAAACATAATTTACAACCATGTAGCTGTAAAATTAATAAAATGTGCCTCAGCTTTCTTTTAGATAAATAAAATAACTTTCTTTGCTCTAAATTCACAGTTTGTGGGTTTTAGCTGAATAATCTTAGTTTCCTTTCATTTTTAGCTGTTACTTTAAAATGAATGCAAAACACGTGTACAGAGAAATATAAGTAATAAAGTCATTCATCTTTAGAGTTCAGGTTTGAGCTCTAATTCTTCTGGAATTAACTTTAAAACAATTCCTGGGCTCTTCTTAAATTATGTTGTAAATGTTTTTTTTTTTTTTTTTGTTGCACATTTTGGTGCAGAAATGAAAACACGAGGCTTCAGACTCAGTTTACATCAATTATGTCATACACAGGTTTATTATTAAAAAATAAATAAAAGTATTTATTGCATTAAAAAGAATGGCTGGGCTGATTTCTATTAAACTCAGTCTTTAATTTGTCGAATTAAAAGTTCAACGCGAGTTAAATGTACAATGTTACATACGTCTTATTTTGAAAATATTTACCCTTATTGTGTGAATGTTTATGAAGAATTCATAATATTGTGATCCAGTTGATCAAGGATTCTCGTCCTTCAGTTTTCAGCTGTTTCCACAAATCATAAATCCAAACGTTCGGCTCTTTCAGGACAATCCTGCTGTGACTTTTGCTATTGGTGCAACTTTAGCTTTTTGAAATATTTAGCCTTTTCTGCCATTTTTATTCCCATAGAAAATGAACTGAGCTCATTTTACGTCCTTCGCATCTTTAGCTCTGTTTACAACCGTTTACTGCTCCTTTCACATTCTCTTCTGCTTCAGCTGCTTTCAGCTGTTTAGTGCTCCTTTCAGATTATTTTAGCTAACTACAACATTTTTGTGCTTTCTGCTCCTTTCAGCTGTTTTCTACAAGTTTCAGTTTTTTCTACTATTTAGCTGTTTTATGCTAATTTAAGCTTTTTCAGCTAATTCCACATTTTTTGCATTCATTTCAACTTTTTCAGCCCAATTCAGCTAAAATGTGCTCTCTCCTCTTCCTTGTAATTTCAGCTTCTTTCTTCTTTTTTAGCTACTTTTCAGCTGCTTTTTTTTTGTTGTTGCTAATTTCAGCTTTTCTCCAGATAATTTTCACCTTTTTTGTGCTCATTTCTGCTTTTTTTCAGCCCAATATGTCAAAACTGTGCTCTCTCCACTTCTTTCAGTTAATTTAAGCTTTTTAGCATGTTTTAGCTAACAGCTGTTTTCTGATAAATCCAAGTTTTTCGTGGTAATTTTTGCTACTTTCAGCTAAATTAACTCCTTTCTACTAACTTCAGCTTGTTCTACTCCTTTCAGATTTTTCTACTATTTCAGCTACTTTTTAGCTGTTTTTGTGCTAAATTTAGCCTTTTCAGCTACTTCTCAGCTATTTTTAGTTAATTTCAACTTTTTAGCTATTTTTCTAATTTTTGTGCTAATTTCTGTTTATTTAATCCTAATTCAATATATATGTGGGTTTTTTTCTGCTTTCTTCTGCTAATTTAGGCGTGTTCTTTCATTTCTGCATAGAGTATTTCCCACAGGGCTCGATTCTTGGACCCCTATGTTTTCCGCATGTTTTTTTTTTAGCTTATTTCAGCTGTTTTTCAGCAAGTCCTTCATCACACTGCATTTTCTCAAGAAATTTAATTTCTCCAGTTAATTCTAGTAACAGACACATGTCATGGTTTGATGACCGGATAAACGTTTCTGTGATGAGAATTGGTAGAAAATCCATTTCTTGGTTCCTCTCAGGCGTTGCGTCCTCTGCAGCCGCTCTGCGTCTGTCTGCCGCCGAGGTGCGCAGTCAGCGCAACGCCATCTTCTCCAGAGAGCAGACCAGGCAGAGAGCTCTGTACCCCCGCATCGAGAAGATCGAGGTGTCCATGCAGGGCCCGGGGCTGGACGGGACGCTCCTCATCATGAACAGAGGCATGTCCACGCCGCTGAGCTGCGCCAGGCGTAAGTGGAGCTGGGAAACGACTCGTCTTTGAATCGAAACGTTGAACGGCGTCCTGCAACGAATGTGTTCCTCTCAGATCTGACAGAGTACCACGTGGACAACTCGGTCCTGGCGCTGGTGGACGGGGAGCTGTGGCCGTTCCACCAGCCCCTCACCCACTCCTGCACCCTCACCCTGCTCACCTTCAAAGACAATGACCCTACTCTCGTCAACCAGGTAGAACTGCTTTAAGAATATGTCTCTGCGTACTCATGGTCCAGACCGTTCAGGAGTCGTGTCCCTTTGCCTCCAGGCGTACTGGCGTTCCTGCGCTGCTCTGCTCGGCCAGGTGCTGACGACGGCGTTCAAAGACGAATACACCGTGGAGCTGATTAGCACACCTGAAGTTCCAGGTAAAGCAGCGCTTTGCTTCGAATGAGCTAGTCGAGGCTTTGGTTTGTGCGGCACTCGCAGGCCTCAACGCCCGAGCGATTCGTTGGTTCGCCTCTCGCATCAGGACGATAGGGGGCGCAGCCGAGTCAAAACTAGAAACCAGAGCTGCTGCTTTTCCCCACAGAGAGCTAGCGCAGCGATTAGCTTGATATATTTATTAAATTCAGTTAGTCGAGTCAACTTTATTTATAAAGCACATTTAAAAAAGCTGCTGTTACCAAATTTAAAGTCAGAGTTTAAAACCATCCTGAGATCTGTTAAAGACTGCTTAAGGTATATGGCTCAAGAGAGTCAAGGTTAACAGAGACAGCAGTAGAGCTAGGGCTAAACACAATGACTTTAGATTTTAAACATTTTAAAGCCGTCCATGTCGATGTCATCACGACATTTTAGCAGAGGGTGAATGGAGCAAGAACTATTGGGTTTTAAGGGCTGATAAATCTGACAATCATCAGCATAACAAGGAAACGAAAGACCATGTGTCCTCAGGATACACCCCGAAGGGAGCAGAAAGAGTGAAAACAGAAGGGGTCCAAGAATCGAGCCCTGCGGGACCCCGCGGAAAAGAGGCACTGAAGCAGATACACTATTTCCAACCTTTACACAGAAACTCCTGTCACTGAGATAAGAACAGAACCATTCTAATGCTGCACCTGTGATCCTATCAGACGAGCAGTACTGACATGTTGCCCGCCTGGTCTCTTATTTACAGTTAGCGTTAGCTAGCTATCTGTAGCAGGGAGGAATCCGTGAGTTAATGGAGAAGAATCCTGACTCTGGAGTTTTAAGTGATTCGTTCAGGGGGAGACGACCTCAAATTAATTTAAACTTTACCTGTAAGATACAAGGAACTCGTGCTAAGAGCTTGTTAACTCCTCGCACATCAGTGAACCACCAGCTGTAGCCAAGACGAATAATCATTTGAGGTACCGCTACAACTGGGGGATGAAATTCAAGATGGCTGCCACAGCCAACTGGTCTCGGGAAACACAAAAATGTCTGTAATCCAGTTAAGTGTCCAGATGTTGGAGCTGAGACGTATTCTGAGCTGACAGTTTTGGTCAGTTGGGTTCTGCTAATTCAGTTCCTTCTGCAGTCACTTCAGGGGCCTTCTGCTGCGACGTGGTCCTCGACCCTGAGCTGGACTCCTGGACCCCCTCCGAGGTGAGTAAGATGAAAACCAAACCTTTAAGAGGGTCGTGGTTCTGGAACATTCAGCGAACGTAGTTGGGTTAATGTGTTACAGACAGGGTTATTATATAAATTAGATCGCCAGCTGTGTTTAATAACAACTGGCACTGAAAGATGGAGCAGATTATAAATAATCACATGTGACTGGAGCCACAAACACTGCTGCACACGTGGTCATCAACTGGTGGCCCATGGGCCGCTTTGAGTTCATTGGAAGGGCCTTTTCTGGCCAGTGGGGGTGACATTATAAAAGTACAAATGAATGCTTTTGAGTATTTATTGATATTTTTACTTATTAAAACAAAACACCAGATTTATGTAAAGAAAAAAATGTTTTTAATTATTTTTATAAAAATTTAAACACTGATCTTAATCGGGCCGAAAGTGAGTTCTCTTTTTAAATTGTGGAAAAATCAATTATCTATCCTACTTTGAACAAACAGTCAAAGTGAGTATAAAAATGACAGTTTTTGGCTTTTTAATTGATTTAAAAAATATATTTTTTTACGTAGTTTTTATTTTATTTTATATTTTATTGTTATTGATTCACCAAATGTCTTCTCAGCAACTTGTTTCAAAAGAAAAAAATAATCTGGTGGGCTTGAGAGAACGGTGACATCATAAGACAGGAAGTAAAGAAGCGGCTAACAACCAACTAGCATGACGTAGTGGACATGTATCCATACAGTCACATGTTTACAGAAGACGAGGAAAACTGCTGAACTAGCTCTTTTTTATTGTTTGTATAAAAAACAATAAAATTCGGTTTTAAGTTAGTTTTGGTCAAAGCTTCAAAGAGCTGCATGTGGCCCTAGAGCCGCAGGTTCAAGACCTGCATGTGGCCCTAGAGCCACAGGTTGAAGAGCCGCATGTGGCCATAGAGCCGCAGGTTGAAGACCCACATGTAGCACTAGAGCCACAGATTGAAGAGCCGTATGTGGCCCTAGAGCTGCAGGTTGAAGACCCACATTTGGCCCTAGAGCCGCAGGTTGAAGAGCCGTATGTGGCCCTAGAGCTGCAGGTTGAAGACCTGTATGTGGCCCTAGAGCTGCAGGTTGAAGACCTGTGGTCCTAGAGCTGCAGGTTGAAGACCCACATGTGGCCCTAGAGCTGCAGGTTGAAGACCCGTAAGTGGCCCTAGAGCTGCAGGTTGAATAGCCGCATGTGGCCCTAGAGCTGCAGGTTCAAGTCCCACATGTGGCCCTAGAGCCACAGGTTGAAGACCTACATGTAGAACTAGAGCCGCAGGTTGAAGAGCCGCATGTGGCCATAGAGCCGCAGGTTGAAGACCCACATGTAGCACTAGAGCCACAGATTGAAGAGCCGTATGTGGCCCTAGAGCTGCAGGTTGAAGGCCTGTATGTGGCCCTAGAGCTGCAGGTTGAAGACCTGTATGTGGCCCTAGAGCTGCAGGTTGAAGACCTGTTGTCCTAGAGCTGCAGGTTGAAGACCCACATGTGGCCCTAGAGCTGCAGGTTGAAGACCCGTAAGTGGCCCTAGAGCTGCAGGTTGAATAGCCGCATGTGGCCCTAGAGCTGCAGGTTCAAGTCCCACATGTGGCCCTAGAGCCGCAGGTTGAAGACCCGTATGTGGCACTAGAGTTGCAGGTTGAAGACCCGTATGTGGCCCTAGAGCTGCAGGTTCAAGGCCCACATGTGGCCCTAGAGCCACAGGTTGAAGACCCGTATGTGGCCCTAGAGCTGCAGGTTCAAGACCCACATGTGGCCCTAGAG